GAGGAGTTAGGAGGATACAACAGGGACTGTGCAGATGCCGGAGAAGTAGAAGGGGTCAAAGAGAGATCAGGAGAGCCTTGGAAAAATCTCGTCTTTTCACATACTGGCTTCAGTTTGTTTTCTTTCCTCCCTTCCACAGAAATCTCCAAGGCTTCTCCCTTTTCACTTTCCCTTTCTATCCCTTAATGTTTGTGGTTGCCTCTGACTCAGATCCCTTTTAAAGGAGAATAGGCATTACATACTTCCAAACATCTTTTTTATTGGACAGCTGCTCCCTTTTGGGCTGATGCCCTCTATGCCTAACAAGCTTTTGTCCTTATGGCACTGTGGGTGTGGGCGTTCGGTCAGGAAACTATAATTGCCCAACTTGCAATCTGAGTGCAGCATAATGCAGGGAAATGATTAATGAATCAGTCATCCAACCAAATGCTAATATTTGAATTTGCCATTAATATATAGAGACCAAAAGTGGTGCTAGAACTATTTTTCAATTTTATTGAAGGCACAGATGATACCCTGAGAGAGGGAAAGTAGGTCTGATCCTAGACCCAGAGTGATCACAATTGTCTTTGAAGTACTGTGAAATGTTCAGGGATTTGTCTTTGTGATTCTCATTGCAGTCACTAAGAGTGACAATGAGAAGTCACTAAGAGTGCTTGCTGAGGTCCCAGGCAGAGCACAGAGAATTACACCACGGTATCATGGGACTCGAGATTTTGTGTGCAAGACTTAAAAACAAGCAGCAGTTTCTGCTTGACTGCTTAATTCACTGGTTAGCTGAAAATTTAACTGGCACATTAATATCTTAGCACTTATTAAATGGACACCTCAAATTGACAACCATGAGTAATACTTTATCTTTTTACATCTCTCCCTAATGCTCCCGTCATCATTCCCAGCAAATTTTCAGGAATATTAATGCATTAAAACATATATATATATAGATATAGATATATATCAGAAGCCATATTCTACATTGGTTTTTTTGCATCCTGCTCTGTGCTTACCTGCTTCACTCCAGAATACCTCCATTTCAGTTAGGTCATAGCTAAACTACTTAAATTTCTAACTCTAATCTGTTTTATTACCTTTCCAGGCACTTGATGCCTTTTCATTTTCTAGTAGTTGAAATATTAGGATACAGTTTTTAAGATATTCAAGAAGTGGTAAATATGTGCTCATGTGTCAAAAAATGACAAATGAAAAAGCATACTGTAAAAGAGAAATGTTGATTTTAGTTGTCCTGAGAATTAGTAAAGGTAGACACTGACTGTGAAGATATGAAATAGAAAAAAGCCCCATGAAGATTAAAAAGAGCTGTTATCTCTATGATCATGTCTCCTCTTTTCAAGTACAATATTGTTCTCCCACAGAACTCTTTTGCAGCCTTTTCTTAGGCAGGCAGTTGTCTTAGGCAGCAGTTGCACTTCTCAGTGCAGTTGACTGATAATAAACCCTTGTTGTGAGTACAAAAATACCAGGATTGAAGTCAAGTGCTCTTCAATTAAAGATCTATTTAGGTGGGAACAAGTAGAAATTCTGGCAGTCATTTGAGCAGTGCTATCAAAATTGAACTGCTTTGCAAAAGCACGTCCATCTTGGTTTTGAACTTCATTAAAAAACAGAACCAGTACTGAGGGAGAGAAGAGGTGTATCTGTGGAAATGAGAAGAGTCTAAAAAAATACCAGAATTATGTATTTGGTCATCATTAGAACTGTTCCAAGTTTTCATTTTGAAATGAGGCTTTTGTTTATATCTTTAACTTGGAAAATGTAGAAGAAAATGTCTGAAAGTTGAAATCAAATGAAATGCCGAAGAAAAAGTATCTTAATGAAAAATTTCAACATCAAATCTAAAATTATCACAATCATCCATGATATTTGGTCTTTCACCCTTCTCATAGCCCTACTGAGCAGGTACCTCCTCAAGTGTTTGGAATAAAATAATTTTGCAATCAGTGGATTAAAGTGTAAACCTGGACACATATGTTCGCTACAGCACCATCATCACTTGAAAAAGCAAAAGTCCTTCCTGTTGCTGCAGGAGTTGATCTGTCTAGCAAGAGAGGGAGGAAAAAAAAGAATGTTCTGAACTTGCAGATGTTTTTCCTGGAGGAGTAATGACTCTTATGTAAATAATCACTTTATTCTGCAAGTGCATACAATTTCATTCCACAAATTGATTTCACCTCTTCTGCCCTTTTCTCTAGTGCAAGCCTCTGCTAGATCTAGCAAGCCTCATTATTCTCTTTTTAAATATCAAAGCTATAAACATCCAAGTCAGAGCTGTGTAGGAACAGTATTTTCAAGTAACATCTTGAAATCTCCAAATCTTGGCTAACACTGTGAATGACAGATGTATTTTATCACTCTTTTTAAATATCAAAGCTATAAACATCCAAGTCAGAGCTGTGTAGGAACAGCGTTTTCAAGTAACATCTTGAAATCTCCAAGTTGGTGTCAAATACAAATCTTGGCTAACACTGTGAAAGAGATGTATTTTATCACCAATGTGGAAGAAATGCAGCTTTTTAGCATCATCTTTTGTAGGCAGGTAATGAGAGAGGAAAAACTAAACATACTATAAATACCAGAAGTGATGGAATAGTCTGGTAAATAAATTCTTTTGCTGCAATATAACTGTTTTCCAGTTAAACATCAAACATGCAGTGTGTGGTTGTTTGCTCAACCTCTGTACATGGCAAACCACATTTACAGTGCTGAGCAACTCTGGCACTAAAATTCATCATCAGTGAGCACATCAGGGGGACACTTAACACGGTATGCCCAGCCCCAGCAATGTCACCTCACAGAAATAACAGGGTGTACTCAGAAATTACAGTAAAGGAAAGAGGAGCAGAGTCATCCCCTAAATCTTTGCGTGTTCATAAACTGCCACTGTCAGTTTTCAGCTATCCTGTGTTATGAGCTGCTGTTGGTTTTTGTCTCTTTTTTGCTGTCTTTCATGATAGATGTGCACATCTCATAAATATGATTTATTGTTTCTCTTTTTAAGCAAAAATGGTTGGAGTAAGAGTATGGCATTAATTCCTGAGGGAAGATAATTTGCCTGAGGAAAGTTTGTTTTAGGCAGTTAGTGAGTAGCTGTTATTCTTAGAACTTGAAAGTATCTATTTCTCAGATAATTATATCTTGGCAGTATATTGTGATGTATTTCAGCTGTGAGTATGAATTACAATTTTCTAGCCTGTTGTTTCAGGAATACTTTGTCAGTGAATTTCATAGGTTAATTACACATTGTTCAACAAAATGCCAGTTTTCATTGTTTCCTCAGACTGCATTCATGTTCATAGTACCTGCTTGTAAGGTAGGCATCTATTACATCGGCTTTGTTTTCAGCTCTCAAAGTAGCAAAATTTCCATCACTTCTAAGTGGAAATGTTCCAGTTCCTGTAAGGATTACTCCTTTCTCCTAGGTGGTCTTTTTTTTGTATGTTCACTACTGCTTATGGAAAAAACGTTGTGTGGCAGTTAAAGTTAAACCCAGAGCTCAGTGTGAAACTGGGTATTAATGCAGGAATTGCCACTGGGGATGAGCCCTGTTCCTGTTGAGCTCAGCTTTCCCTCTCTGGTGGATGCCCTGGTAAGTATTTCAGAGGAAACTGCAGCACAGCCCTCAGTAAGGCAATAATGAACCTAACACAGAAGGTCTTTTGAGCTGTGCTGTGAAAAATGAGAGTCTGTATATTTACTTATTATACCCAGTCTAAAGCAGCTCTTGGGGTTTTTTCTTGTTAAGTATAACTGTTTGATCCTTTCTGATACTCTGCTCTTCTTATAGTCTCAATGATGTCTTGTAACAATGAGTTTCACCTCGGGTTAATCAAGTTCTCTAGAAAAAGATGTTTTCCTTTATCAATTTTATGTGTTGTTTTTTCAATTTCATTCAATGTCCACAGGAGTAGTTTTATTTCCCTTTTTCTACCATTCATTATTTTCTAAGCCTCTACAATGTCTTCCCTTCTTCATCTCCTGTCTAAAGCAAACAATTCCAAATGCCTTAGCTGCTTCTACTTGATTTGTAAGCTTTTAAGTATTTTTATTTCATTTTTGTACCTCTCCTAATTTTGAAGTGTACTTTTTAAAGATTAGAATTTGAGACATAAGCCTGAACTATAGGTTGGAAATGGAATATTACTTGTATAATTCTGAATCTTTTCACTATTTTTGTTTTTAATTTCCTTTTTTCTGGTGATCCCATACTGGAACAATTTCGGGGAACTTTCACCACTAGGCAGATTCTCACAACACCTACCACAACTACATCTTCACTTACCTGGGCATACCAGGAGTGCTTCAGATGACATGAGCCTCTGTACTTTGTTATTCCAATGAAAGGGCAAACTGTTTTCAGAGCATTTTAGTGGGGTTTATTTGGGGCCTTTTAAATGATCAAGGGCATGTATTTGTCAAATACAGGTGAAAGACAAGCACCTGGAGTGGCTAATTCAGTAGTGTTCTGCTCATTGTGAAACTCAGTTGTCTGAATTGAAGCCTGTGTTTCTTCCTGAAGAGAGGTTTAAGTAATTGCAGTTATAGTTGTACAGTTTCTTATTAAGTAATAATCCTTTGAGTTATCTTGAGATGCCTCAGCACCAAAGTTTAGCCTCTGCATTTTAAAGTACCTTTAAGTCTCTTCTTCCAGAGTGCTGCCCAAACTTGAATTCATCTAGTTGTGGCTGACTTTCATCTATGAAAATGCAGTTTGGCACAAGTACTGGAAAACAGATGGTCTCGCAAGTCAGAGGTTGCTTCCATAACTGGTGGATTTTCATCATTCAAAGAAACTTTCTCAAACTTTTTCTCTCATTTAATACCTTTGTAAATGAGGCTGTAGGACAGAAAAAGTCTAAACTACACGTAACTTTCAGTCCTGATGTAGCAAGTTTTTGGCTTGAAATTAGATGTGAAAAATAGTAGTGCAGATTGCACATCTCCTTTGTTTTCTCTTTTTTTTCTTTTTTTTTTTTAATCCCCAGATCTAAACGTCCAGTGCCAGTTTCAACCACAGCTCCCAGAATTGACTCTCCCAGGGCTGTAATTCCCCATCAGAAGGTAAGTTTCTCCTCAGCCAGAATGAATGCTATTTCTGTCTGCTGTGGTGAAGGTAAATATCTACTATAGGTAATAGCTTCTGCCTGCCCCAAATAATTAAAGGTTGAATGAATGCACAGACAGCAAAACTGCTGCAAGGCAATGTATTAGTGATCTGTATTTTGCTAATTTCTGATTAGCAGGACCAAAGCATCCAGCTATCCTCTGATGTGATTTGGTCTAACCAATTCTCAGCAACTGTTTTCATCTTAGCTACAAGAAGCCAATAAAGCTTCTCAAAAATCTACATTTGCTTTCGTAGATTGTTGGGGAGAACCATTAGACTGTGCCTCCATCTATCCAAATCCTGGCTGCAACTGAAATAAAACTGATTTGGAAAGAGGACATGAGGGCCTTTGAAAGCTTGCATCATATAGTGTTCTTATCATAGAATTCAGAAGACCTGAGAATAAAAAATAAAGAGGATAAGTCAATTTAATGAATAACAGCAAGTGGCAGAGGAAATGAATGGCTTGGTTTCCATTGTCAAAGCACATCATCTTTCATAAAATAAATGTTCATTTTAGAATAAACACTGACTGTACCTGGCAACTCATCTTCTGTATCTTTGGAGACACTGAGAAGCAGGGGTACCTGAAAGATGGTGTGCATATATCCCTAGGCTCAGGCTCTGGGCAGAACATTTGTATTGCTGATGCGTTTGATTAGATAAATGGACAGGAGCTAAAGTTTCCATTGCTGCAACTTATCCCTGCTGTCTGTGCTAGTTCCATTCCTAGCATGCATATAAATCAAAAACACTGATGATCAAAATACGTGGGGAATTTGATGATTTTCTACTGGGTTTGACAGTTCCAACATCCATAGATCAATTTTAAGTAATTTTTATAAACACTATGCTTTCCAAATTCAGAGCACAGATGGTAACATCATCTCTGAGACTGCTGCAAATAGGTTCAAAATAGCAGAAGAGAATGCACCTGGGGGGAATAATTTGATTCAATTTTATTTTGTGAAATTTTAAATTAACCTGACTGGCCATTTATTAGTTGAGGCAGAAATTGTTTTTTCAGACTGGATGTTGTAAACTTTTTTGGCAAGATGAAACTAAGAATTTATCTTGTTTCTGTTTATATCATGATTTTATAACATTTTATAAAAGTTATTTTGGAGGAACTTATTGGAACAGTCACCAAACAGTACTGTGAAATTCCTAGGAAAAAAACAATGAATCATTATTTTGTTTAAACTGGTGTTTGACTGCACCAGCAAAGTAATAGGGACAGGAAGGGGAAGGAGTTCTCATTTTCCCTGGAGACCCACCCAGAATGCTGTCAGTGTTCAAGGCAGTGAGTAGATGTGTCTCATCAGTTATTCACCAACACAAGGTTGGCTCCTACCTTTTGGGGCTCTATAGCACCTGCACAGGTGAAATGAAAATTTTGAAACGAAAATTTTGTCCCCTTCCTCCACGGGCGCATAAAGCTCTTACATATTGGACTTTCGTGACTCTTTAGGTGCATTTTAGGTGCATTTCTTCCTTGCCAAGTGTCAGTTTTAAAATTGCTGCCATAGGTTTTCAAAGCTGTTTACCACAAAAAATACTTTCCTCCCTTACCTATCTACTGTATAGAAAGTTAACTTCACACACGGCAGGGGTCTCTTGAAGGTCCTAAAAGACCCCTTGGCATGAAAGCCATAAAGACAATTTACATTTCCTAGTCTAACCCTTCAGAGAGAGATAAGGATCAAAAGACTCAACCCATTTTCAGAAGCTTGCTGTCTTATGTTTGACAATTCTGTGCAAGGTGCTCAGGAAAGGTTTGTAGGAGCTGCTGGAGGCAATCTTCTCTGAGCCAGCTACAGGCAGTACTGGCAGCTGGAAAAGAGAATTAGTGGAACCTTTCTAGAGGAAAAGGGTGGCTTCCAGGGGAAGGTATGGTGGGAAACAGGTTATCTTGCAGTATTGAGGAAGATCTTAGGTGTAGGGTCATTCACCCAGGGGAAGAGGTATCATCAGAGTGCTGGACCTTTTACAGGTCAAGAGTGACACTTGTGTCACTTGTCTACATTAATACTAAGTTTTAAGTAAAGAAGAATTCTTCTCTGGGGATTGTTTGGAAGGAAAAAAGGCATTGAGCTCTCAGAGAAGTCTAAAAATCCAGAATAAAGATACTTTACTGGTAGAGGCAGTGTAATGCTGATTTGGCAGTAAGGTGTGTTACACTGAATACGCTTTAAAATCAAGGTTTCTTTGCTTGTCCCTTGATTATTTCTAGTAACAAGTATCACTGTAGAAATGAAGAATTCTGTGACACTAAGGCAGAAGTCACCTCCACACCTCTGCTTGACAGTGTTTAGACTGATGGTTTACATGAAATGAATTTGATGATATTTTTAAAAATCAGCAAAAGACTGAATTACAAGACAGTTGTGACAGTGTCATCCTCATGCATCAAGAGAAGCTTTCCTCACCCTTCTCTGGTTAAGGTTAAGGTGTGGCAATGTTAGCTAAACAATCTGCATGTGCAACTTCAGTGTCTAGTTAAAACCATAAATCCTCTTGTACATTATTGCTGATCTGATTGCAGCTTCCACTAATTTTCAAGCATGCACTTCTTTCACTATTTTTTTTTTGTTTTATTTTAGGGAAACAAGCATACTTTTTCACAAAGATCAGTCATTCTTTCACGAAGCTGATCAATATTATAAATGATACAGGTTCTGCAACCATAAGTATATAAGGCTATTATTGGAAATAAGGTTTGATTGCATTTTGGTTTCACTGTATCTGACATAAATCTCAAACTAGAAACAATTTTCATTTAGTTTAGTCAAATATTTTTGATTTAGTGAAGTCTTTTGTACAGGTGGGAAGAAAGGGCATAGTTAATGTTGAAAGAATTCAAATAACATTAAAAGTAAGCTTGAGTCCAAGGATTTAAACTAAGCCATCCATCAGTCAATGAGTTCCTGCAGCTCTTCGGAGGGGACACAACACAAGTGAAGACTCAGCTCAGTGCAGTTCAAAACATTCAAGCTAGCATTTTAGGGCTAAGCATGGCTTTAACATTTGTTCATTTGCATGAAGATATTGACAGCCTTGTTAATTCTAATAATATGGTTATGTGTTGTGCTTTCTGTGAAACACTACTGACAACACTTTTATTTTGGAGTCCCAGTGAGCATCTTGTCACACTTATGATTTGTTTCCTCCAAATTTGGGAGCCTATGTGTCTAAGAAAAAACATATGGAAATGACTGACTTTTTAAGTAGGGTATAGAATGGAGGAGCTGGCTCAGCCAAAAGCAGTTTGATCATGTCTGAGCAGAGTCATTCAGTGCCATGGTGCCTCTATTTCCTTTATCCTCTAAAAAATTTAAAGCAACAATTGCTTCTTGAGCATGTTGGGTGGTCAAATTCACTGGTATACTGTTAAAATTGTTCTCCCAGAAGTGCAAGAGGTGAGTAATGACTGTAGAATCACAGCAATAGATAAATAATGACATGTCAAAGGGAGAGGATCTGCAAAACCTGGTGTTGTATCTCCCAATCTAAATTTATTTTTCACTTCCCTGATACATAAGAAGGAACATTTGCCTTTCATAGGAACTGGATTTTTATAAACAAATAATGATAATACTATTTCACAATGGAAATTGAGCTGATTCCTAGCTTTCTTCTATTTCAAAAGGTTTGAGACTCCTCTATATTTATCAGTTTGAAGCTCATTCCCTGACGTTACGCAGTTTTCCTCCCGCAGTAAGGGGCTGCTGCACGATCCCTCATCTTTCAGAAGGGAAGCCCATTGCTCAGTGTCAGAGCCTCCTCTCCTGGTCGGCTGGAGGGGTAGCATCAGACTCCCGGAGCTGGAAATGTCAGCTTGCTTTCCCAGCCACTGAAACAGAATGGGATGAGAGATGGGGAACAGGGGAACGTTTGTAATTCTTGGCTGCATTTCATGTGATGCAATGCTGGAAGCTCAGTGCTGCTGCTCAGTATTAGACATTTGCCCTTCACAGTCAGAAATTGGTTCCAAAATTCTGCATTAATCTGATTTTGACACTGAACTGGAGACAAAAAATAATTCTACAATATTCTCCCAGGAATAAATTGAATCAGAGATTTTTTTTGTTGGTCACAAAAGGGAAGAGCTAAATATGCTGATGATGGGGCAGTAATTATTTAGAAGTACAGCTGCTCCCTTAGACACTTCCTGTTTCATCCATTTTTCCCCCACAACACAGAAAAAACAACTACCCTAAAACTATCCAAAATATGAACTCAAGATGGAGATTGCTAACCTGGCACTGCTGGGCTCTTAATTCTAATGCTGATTTGCCAGTATGCTGGTATTCTAGCTAGAGATCATTTGAGGAGCAAAACCAGAACTCCATTTGTGCCAAAAGGGAGCAAAATAATCAGCCATCATTTTTTAGGGCTGTCCCATGATTTTCCCTTTACCTGTTGTTACTGTCCAGTAACATCAAGACTATGAAAATGCATTAGGACTAAGGAAATATGCATCATTTCTCTCATTAGCAGTTGAAACTGATACTTTACAATCAGCTCTCCTTGTATGTCCTTTTATTTTGGGGTGTAGGGAGAAACCCACCATTAACTAAAAGCCAGAGTTTTCAGGGTAACAAATGCATGTAACTCCAGCATATCCTTTTTCTTCTCTGTTACATCTGTGTTTATTTTTTATTTAATAATTTTGTCCCTCCGGCATGTAAAAATGATTTGTCCAAGTGATTACTTAATTTTTGAACATAGCCTTGTGCATTTGTGCCTCTTTTTGAACACATTTTTAGAGGGAAGCCCTGTTTTCTATTTATTTAATGAAGGTTTTCTATTTATTTAAGGAAGCTTTCAATAGACCACTGGAAGGGATTGTTGTTTGCTGTTTTCAGTGTCAGGGTATAATAACCAAAGTACGTATTGCAAATGTATTTATTTAAAAAGGCATGGTCTGAAAATGCTTTTAGGATTATCTGTTTCTACAGCAGCTATTAATGCCAGCTAAAATCTCTTCCTGTTTATCACTAAGAAAAATTTTCTTAGTTAATTTTATCTGTCATACATTTTTGATTCAACGTGTCTTAAATATGTTTAATGTTATGGTCACTTATATCCTTAGACCTTTAGGGTTTTTTTCAATAAATTTTAATTAATCAAGGCATATTATCTTGATTTTTTTTTCAAATGTATGCTCCCTATTTATACATGCAATATAGAAAAATCCAAAAGGGCAATAAATTTTTTTTTCTCCTGAACCATAATGTTAAAATTAGTAAATTATATTAATGATAACCAATACTAGCAAAAGCATAAAATTAGAGGCCAAATTATTCTCAGTCCTATATTTCATGGAAGGGGAAGATGAGTGCAAGGTGTTAAAGATGATGATTGCATTGCCAACGAATGAGGCAAAACATCACTGCAGGCCACCACCTGCTCTTGAACTGGCTATCACTGAGGCCAGATTGTGGGCTCCATTCCTGCTTCAGGCTGATGTCCCCTGCCTGTCCCTGTCCCCTGAGCTGGACTGCAGCAAGTAGCCAGCATTACTGGGCCTCTTAACTGTGAGCATTTTTCTTTTTTGATATCACCTCTTATTTTAGTTTCACTAAGCATTTATAGTGAATCATTTATGAAGCTCAGGTGTTGGACTGTGTTTTTCCAGGATGAGTTTTTGGTGGATTGTTTTGAATCTGAACACCAGCACAGACTTCTATGGGCATAGATATTGCAGGAGAGATTCCTTTGGCTAAGGCAATACCTGCTGCTGTCCCAGTTAGGAATATTATGTGGGACAGGACTGTAGGATCACACACACACCTACATACTCAAGCACACTCTCCCTCAAGTGGAAATTAAGCAGGAATGATCAGCATAGGAGCAGCCTCTTTGTGGAGCAGTACCTGTTCTTGAGTCCTGTTGGTGTCTCTGCTAACCCTGCTGCATGGCCAGATCAGCATGAACCAGAGCCCAGGAAAGCAGTGCATCATTTCCATAACCTCAGGTGCACTCCTAGAAAACAGAATGGTGTGGTCTAGAATCATTGTGTCTTTATAATAATGGCATTGACTTCTCTGGTTGTACATGATCTAAAATTATTCTTACCTCAAGACTTTTTTTTTAAGATTTCTTAGTTATCCTAGAAATTAATGGACAGTATTGCCTTAATGTAAAATTACTGCTGTGAGGTTGACTAGTAGCAAATGCTCTCCTAATGTTAAGCTTTATTTGTTGATTTCAACTAAAACCTAGTAAAAGAATGCCTGAGTTGTTTTTGCTTTCCTTATTTTGAAACAATGCATTTCTTTGTTGAAAATCTTCCCTGAAAGTTTGAATGCTTTGGCCCCAATCTGTTTATTGCTAGTTTATGACTATGTTTACAGCATTAATTGCAAATATGTTATTTTTGCATGTGTTCTATGATTGCTCTTTTCTTTTTTTCTTTTCTTGGCCTGCATGTTTGCTACTACAGGAACCTGCTTGGGAAATCAATGGCAACAGAACAACATTCAACCCTCTAACTAACACGGCGACTGGGCCTATGGGTAGTGTTTTAGCAACCAATGGAACCTTTTCAGGCTACCTCAACCAGCAAGAGATCAGCCTTTCAAATAGCTCTTCCTACCTAAAGACTACCACAGTTAGATCTTCCATGTCCTCTCAGTCTGTGACTCCTGACATTTCACCTGCCAAGAGCTCGTTAGGTTCCAAAGCAAGCCCAGCTTTGGCTGGTGGCAGTAGCCCTGCTCGCCAGCCGAGCCCTGCAAGGCAGTATAACAACCCCATTGGCCTTTACTCGGCAGAGACCCTGAGGGAAATGGCTGAGATGCATAAATTGAGTCTCAACCGAAGGGCTTCGGAAGGTGGACTTCCTAGAGGGTAGGTAACATGGTAACATCTTTAATTATTGCAATAACTAATGAATTTGCTGAGCAGTGAATGTAATGGTGCTTACTCTATTGTATATTTGTCTAGCAGTCATTATTAAAGTCTGGATCAATAATTAAGTTTTCCAGTAGTCTCCAAAACATACCCACATTGCCATTACAGAACAATGGTTGTTGGTATGTGGCGTGCAGCATGGATTGGCAATAGTCAGGAAAGCATGAGAGGGAGCACCAAGACTGAAATAACTGTAATCATCTCAGGGTTGTGCCACTCAGCAGTTCTAACTAATGCATGGAGTCTCAGAGAACCAAGTATTGCTGTCAGACATCAGAGCAGCTGCTATAAACCACACCTGATCTTTGGTACTTTGCTAGAGAGAAATGGCTTTGACCAGCAAATCCGACATACCCAGCTACTGGGGTGTCCTACTCTAATTCCTGCCTTAATGCGTTGGCTTTCCTAAGCAAAATGAGTCAGAACTGCAAGATTTTGAATCCTCTGGTTTGAAGAATGTCTTGCATCTATTAGTTTTTAGGTTAACTTTGCTATAACAAAGAATGATCTCCAGATACTGCCCAGATAGTTTGATCCCATGCTGTCAAGGTTTTCCATATTCCTATATTGCAGGTCAAATATTTTATTAGTAGGCTTGTGAAGTGAGGAGCTTGGACTGCTGTACATGAGAAAAAGCAGGGAGAAACAGGTTTTCCTAATTTTTTTTGTCTTCACGTATAAATCATCAAACAAATCTAATTTTTTAGTTTTTTTTGTAGCTTGGGTTTTTATTTTAAATGAAGATAAATTTCTTGTTAGGAATGTGGGGAAAAGTGGTTTTTTTGACACTAGGGACTTGGCTACATAAGGAAAACCAGAAAATTCCAACAATCCGCTCAAGGTCTGATAGCAACTGCATATCTTCAGTACTTTATATCCATTTGCAGCAGCTCTTTGCAAAAATAAAACCAAGAGGTTTTAAGTTGTAGAAAAGTAGGGATATTTCATCCTATTAAAAGAGCATATACACCTGTTCTAAATGATTCAAGCAATTTTATGTGATTCACTGCCACTCTCTTGAGCACTCAACATTAGCAATCCTAATTAACTTATCTGAGAAAATTCTATCCTCCCTTCTTATACTTGATAATTAAGTAAAGCAATTGCCTTTAAAAAAATAATTTCAGTTAGTTACCAAGATCAGCAAAATAAACCTCAGAATACTTGTCTCGTAATTTACAGTTTCCTAAAGAATACCAATTCTTGTCTTATTTTAATATACAGAGTTTCCTGGGTGTATATCTTGTTGTCTTTTTCTCCACTGTGTTAATAATCCTCCTTAATACCTGCAGGGGTGAGGGTTAAGGGGCTGAATTTTGGATGGCTCAGCATTGTGTTTGTTATCAGAATTACAATACAGCTGTATCAATCACCAAAGTCAGTGTGAGCCTTTCTATTCAGTTGGAATGAAATTTTAGGGAACTGCTATCTGCCTTTACCATCTGGAACACTGATGGACAAACAAACAGAAAAAAAACCCACAAAACCCTTATCCTGCTGTGCAGGAACATTCTGAAAAGATGAAAGAGCCCAGAAGCACTAAATAAATGTATCTTGTCTGGTAACTTCTCTGAGATTTAGAGAACTGTACATCTCTGTTGACATGCAGAGAAAATTCAGAGCTCAGTAGTGCTATCATTCCCACTCCCACTTGACTGTTATCCATGAAGTAAGAAGTATCTTACCTCCTGCCCTGTGGAGAAAAACATGGAACCTGTAACTATCTTGGGACTTGGTGGCATCCATGATAATCTCAAACTCACAGTGCATATATGGGAATAAGGAAGCACTGTGAGCACTGAAAACTCACCTCTGGTTTTTACTGGGAACATTCTTACCATATAACACAACACGGTTGTGATATTGTGGTGCTCCAAAACTGAATTCATTGTGCTTTCACAAACATGCACTTAGCTGTATGGTAAAAGCTGCAAGAAAGTTCAAGCATGAGCAGTGATATTAAGGTATGTTTCAGTTCTGTGGCCTTTTCACCAGATGATTTAAACTTAATTCACTGAATTGCTGTTACAGGTTTAGCTTAACCCTTTGGAAAATCCTATCAAGAAGCTGAAATTAATTTTGAGATTACTTCCTTGATCTGTGAAGGATAACAAAGCATCTGTTTGTCTGATACACTTTATATTAAAGCTTTATCACTCTGACCCAAGGTGAAAAATAAGATAGCCTGTTAGGAGTGTGGAACGTGATGTGCTGAAAGCTCTGGAGTGTATGAATAAATATGAACAGTGAGTCATAGTTTGTAACATGCATCTTTTTCATTCCAGTGTAAGTTATTTTTCACACTGTAGGTCAAGGGCAGTAAATACCTGTCCCACAAGTACGTGCCAGGTGGCTTGGGTTACTGGCCTCTTACTGAGTGACCTCTGTGAGCAGCAAGTTGGGTGTTCCAGACATGTCCCTGTATAGAGTCAAGCTAAAATTATGTGTGGCTCTGAACTGGGAGGAATTTTCTCATCATATCCTAAATATAAGGAGAAGCAAAGCATTACTGTTTTTGAAGGAAGCTATAGCAGCCGCTTCACATCTCAAAAATCTTTACTGAGACGTGACTGCTGACCTGCTCTTAGGTTGTGCACATAATGTTTCTTTTATTTGGACGAACTTTTATATTCCTTTAATTAAGGTTGTATTTTAAGGGTTTGGTAGTTCTGCCTTGAAAATGTTATTTTATATGTATGGTAGATGCGTGGATGAGTCAGAAAATGATACCATTACACTTGCTTTCATTGTAAATTAGTTCCCAGCTGTCTCACAAACACCTAAAATGGACATAGGTTCACTGATGTGCTTACAGGCTGCAGCTTCTTCCTAATATATCTCTAACAGTTCCTGTAAGAACATTTGGCTTAATGTAGGGTTTATAAAGCTAGAATATTTTCAAATCTGAGAGTCTGACCAGTAGCTGCAGAGGGTGATCTGTGGTTGCTTTACCATGGAAGTGCAGAAGTGCAAAGCCTTTACTGCAACTTTGGCTCATTAGAGTCCTCTTGATTGTGAAAAGTGCTGTTTGATGATCATCGGTAGGAAAAAGCAGTAATATCAAAGGTTCTGTAAGGAAAAAGCAGGAGGGGGCCAAATCCACTTGGAATGTCACTCTTTAACAGTGTAACTTTGCTGTCCAGTATTTTGTATCAGTCCCAGACACAGAAATGTCACAGCAGCAAGTTGGAATCCTCAGTGCCCAGTTCTGTCAACAGCATTCCATACAGCCAAGTAAAAAGAAAAGTTTATTAACTGACCATGGATCTCTTCCTCTTTATTTTGCACAAAATAGGATTAATTAAGTCTTCAACCAAGAAAAGAGCAGAATGTGGGTATTCTAAGCTTCGGAGGAAAAAAAGTTAAAATAAATATCACAGCCCATTACTGCTATTTGTGCAACCACCACAAAGAGTTATTGGGAAGAGCACTGTAGTCCAGACTGAGCGCATTCTGTTCTGCACTCCCAGCTTTATCCTGTGTTATGGTGCTTTGGAATTACTGTGCAAGCACCATCACTAGTTTATACAAAGATGCAGGAATGGAGTGTGAACGTACCTTTTTTCATACTGTATGGAACCAGCTGGAATAAGATATACTGATATGGATAGTCCCAAAGGAAATAGAGCAAGCATGGCTTGTTTTATTTCATGTGGAATAAATTAGGAATGACTGTTCCAAAGTTAATTGGCTTACACACCTCTTGGCATAATGTAGGTGCAGTCATATCTAACCAAATGCTTTGTTATATACAAAGGCATTTTCCTTAGTTTTAGCTTTAAAACATTTACCAATATATTCTTTGGATCTTCTCCAGCATGTAAAAGACTTAAAAATCAGTCTTGCAAAACCAGCTCTGAGGGTGGCCTGAGAACAGACTTTATCCATGAATATTCAGTATCTAAGAGAAAAATATAGTCTCTTCCACTCCTTTGCTATTTTCAGATGAGAATATACTTTGAAAATTCTCCTTTTTTCCCTCTGCTCCCTCCTTCCTTCACTTTGGTAGTAGTACTTTTAAGGATGCACAGCAATAAGATTGTGTTCAACAGTCAGCCAAAATGCCATGGTACCCTACTAAATCCCGGTGGATCAACTATAATCCCTGCATTTTTTCCTTTCTCAATCATGTTGGGGGTTTTAGGCATACATTTACTTTTTCTTCTTATTTGTACATGGTCTGAGAAGAGCTGTAGTAACTTTTTGTAAATATCTTTTGGCCTTTGCACTCTACAAACTATTGACTTTTTTCTGTGTGGTTGGTTTTGATGTTGTTTGTTCTCTTTCTCTTCTTCTAGGTCATAACCAACACCGCTGCCAAGTTAGTATCACCTCTGTGTAGTGCCAGATATTTGTGTGACGCTGTGTGTGTGAAGATGTGTTTTCTGGGGTAGCATGATCCCCTGTGTTCCTGCTGTGTCTGCTTGCAAGTGCAAGTATTTTTTTAAACATCTGCTTGGTGTGGCAGGCGCCCTGCACTGCTCCTGCTGTCCAGCAGTGCTCCCACTTGGCGTTTCTCAGTGTTGCTCGAATGCTGTGGATGGAGCTGCTACCTGAGCCTGCCCAGTTCTTCTAAAAGCTTTCAGGTGGTTGTGCTTATACAGGCAGGTTTAAGTCCTCTTGAATCTTTAAGTCAGCTTCATGCCCTCAGAGTTTGGAGAGCGTTATCTGAGCCTTTTTTGGTACATTATTAGTAAAGTACTTTTAGCTTCAATGTTAAATTAATTTCTAAAGTCTGCTAAAATTCAAATTTAGGTTGCAGTAAGATACTGATATGGGGAAAAAAAATCTATTAAGTGATTTAGCTTGATAAATCTATTGCCCAAAAAAGAAATAACTATTGACTTGGAAATGTGATTGATCTGCTTTATTTAGGAGATTTCAGAAAGTCCTCAGTTTTGACCTTTAGTTTTCTAGGGGCAGAGGATTGTCTCTAA